CATTCGGTTTTCGATTTAACATCGCGGCCGCGCGAGCACTGGCATTGGTGCCCCTTGCGCACGGAACGTGTGTTCACCATTCGTTTCTCGATTTTCCATTGCTGCTTTGCGTGGGAAAATCATCGCAGTGTGGTCCGATGCGCACGTTTCCATATAATTCGCGCTCATACAAGTGATTTTGGCATCAAGGGGATGGTTTAAATTTTCTTAAACACAAAATCTGGTTTTGGCCGTTCGCTTTTGCGCATGTCACCACTCCGAGCTGCCACAGTTACCGATGCCGCACAGACGGCGAAAACCAAAGCACAACCGACATCAACAACGAGTACCACTATTATTCCTACTACATGTACAGCGGGAGCGGCAACACCTGCTTTTAGTACCACTGCTAATATTACTGCTATTCCTTGTACTACTACTGCAACGACTACAACTACTCCAAACTACAACTACAAAAAAACAGCAGTAACAACAACAACTACTACTACTACTACTACTTCTACTACTACCACTACTACCACTACTACTACTACTACTACTACCACCACCACTACCACTACCACTACCATTGCCACTACCACTACCATTGCCACTACCACTACTACTACTGCTGCTGCTACTACTACTACTACTACTACCACTCTTACTATGGCTACAACAACAACTATTACTACGACTACTACTACTACTACTACTACCACTACTACTACTACTACTAGTACTAGTACTACTACTACAACTACCACCACCACCACCAGTACTACTACTATTACTACTACCACTACTACTACTACTACTACTACTACTACTGCTACTACTACTACTGCTACTGCTACTACTACTACTACTACTACTACTACTACTCCTGCCAATACTACTACTACTGCTACTGCTACTGCTACGACTAATACTACTACTACTACGACTACTACTACTACTACTACTGCTACTGCTACTGCTACTACTACTACTACTACTACTGCTACTACTACTACTACTACTGCTACTACTATTACTATTACTACTACTACTACTACTACTACTACTACTACTACGAATACTACTACTACTACGACTACGACTACTACTACTACTGCCGCTATTACTTTTACTGGGGCCCCGCGGTTGCCAATGGGCCCCATGCGCGGGGCCCGCGCCGATAAAATACATGTTTTTTTTTGGTTCTGTTCAGGCCTGCGCGCTTAGGTTGTAGCACCGGGCAGAAAGAGGGCGATGGGGGAGAGAGCGCGCGGCCCCTCCCCGCGCGCCCCGCAGGTGCTCGTCTGGCAGACGGACTACACTTCAAGGGATTTCCAAGTTGGCGGCGCTGCGCGACGCACACCTATAACAGAGAGGCATTGTAGGGCGCATGCCCTGCATTTTGTTTTTCGGTTTAGTTTCGTCGTGATCTGGATTTGGTGAATGGGTTTTGCGTTGTCGCGTTCTGCGTTTGATGGTTTGGTTTGTTATTTGTCGTTTGGTTGTGGGTGCGTTTTTTTTGTTTGGTTTTTCCTTTTGTGTTCATGGAATTTTCATGGAATCATGGAATCATGGGACTTCCATGGGATTTCCATTGAATGTTCTTGGAATCCTGGAATCTTGGAATCATGTGGTTTTCATTGGATTTTCATGGAATTGTCATGGAATCTTGGAATCTTGTAATTGTCATGGAATGTTCTTGGAATCTTGGAATTTTTTATGGGGTTTTCATGGTTTCTTGGAATCTTGGAATTTTCATTGCGTTTTCATTGCATTTCCATGGTTTCTTGGAAGCCTGGAATCTTGGAATTTTCATGCAGTTTTCATCGAAGTTTCATGGTTTCTTGGAATCATGGAGTTTTCATTGTTCCTTAGAATCTTGGAATTTTCATTGAATTTTCATGGTTTCTTGGAATCTTGGAATTTTCATTCACTTGTCATGGTTTCTTGGAATCGTGGAATTTTCGTTGACTTTTCATGGAATCATGGAATCATGGAATTTTCATGGGGTCGTCGTGTCTTCGTCGAAGTTTCGCAATCTTTTTTGTTGCGATGGCGGTTGCAGTTTTGCGTTTTTTTTAGCTTTTGCAATTTGCGTTGCGTCCCCCTCATTGCGTTTCGTTTGAGTGTTTTTTTTTTTTTTATTACTATTATTATGGATTGTTTGAGCAATTCTCAGTTTCGCGATTTTGTAGTTTGAGACCTCGGCGGTTTCGCAAGCGCCACCCACGTGGGCCACCCTCGCGCCCTGCCCGACCCCCCTGTTCGGGCAGGCGCAACTGCGCAGGTGCTTGCTGCGGCGCGGCAGGCGAATAAGGCGCGTCGAACGGCGTATATGTTGCCCCCCCCCCCCTCAAAAAAAAAAGAGCGCGCGCGCTGATCACGCGCGCGAGTGGCGCGCGCGCGCGAGTGCACGTGCAGGGGGGAAGATTCACGATGCGGCGCATATGTTGCAGCTGCAGCGATCAGCCCGCCCATGCAGCCACCCCCCCCTTGCAAAACAAATAATAATAAATGTTTCTTCGGCGTGGCCTCAAGAGGCCGCAAGCGGCTTTCAGCGCGGGCCAGAGTGCCCCGACGGCGACGCGCTGGCCCCCGGCGCCAAGACCAGGGTGACCGCTACTCGATCGAGGGGGAGGAGGAGGAGGGGGAGGAGGAGGAGGAGAAGGAGGAGGAAGACCGAAGAGGAGGAGGAAGAGGACTTTTGGCTTGCGGGTGCCTGCGTATCGAGTCACTGGGGCCCACAGGGGGCTCAGGTCAAGCCCGATGCACTCATGGCACTCTCAGCCTGCAGGTGTCTGCGGAGCCACTGGGGCCTGAGATATATCGCTTGCAAGGGGCCTGCGGCGGAGCTTGCGATGTCGACCGGCCCAATTGCCAAACTGCTTGGAGTGTTATGGGTCCGTGCACGCCAACTCTCATGTCGTGGTGTTGCCTTGCAGCAGTAGTAGTAGTAGTAGTAGTAGTAGTAGTAGTAGTAGTGGTAGTAGTAGTAGAAGTAGTAGTACTAGTAGTAGTAGTAGTAGTAGTAGTAGTATTAGTAGTAGTAGTAGTAGTAGTAGTAGTAGTAGTAGTAGTAGTAGTAGTAGTAGTAGTAGTAGTAGTGGTGGCACCAGGTAGTAGTCTATAGGTAGTAGGTAGTAGGTAGTAGGTAGCAGGTAGTACTAGTAGTAGCAGTAGCAGTAGTAGTAGGTAGTAGGTAGTAGGTAGCAGGTAGTACTAGTAGTAGCAGTAGCAGTAGTAGTAGTAGTAGTAGTAGTAGTAGTAGTGGTAGTGGTAGTGGTAGTAGTAGTAGTAGTAGTAGCAGCACATATACACATTATGCTCCAGTTCTTGCCGCGCATTGATGCTGCGTCGCTTCGCGCGCGCTTTGGCTCTGGGGGGCGAGCCATGGCCCCGAAAAAGGCGAAGACCAAGCGCAGGGCTTCGAAGGCCAAGACCCAACGGTCGGAACAAGAACGTGAACACGACAACATCATGCAACGGTTGCGGTGCCCCTGGGTGCATCTTCGTCCTCCTCCTCTTTTTCCCCCTCCTCCTCCTCGCCTCGCCCTCCTCCCCCCTCCCATCTCGTCCTCCTCCTCCTCCTCGTCTCCTCCGCCTCCCCCCTCTCCCCCCCTCCTCTGTATGCGCTTTCAAGCACGCGCGGGTCGAGGTGCCAGATCGAGAAAGATGGCCGCATCTGCATGAAAGAATAGAAAAAGGGTCGCCGACGCAGAGATGCGCAAGCGGGCGCGCATCTGGGACCAGACAGGCCACGAGCTCGCGTCGAGTGCCAGTGCTTTACTCCACTCCATGCAATGCAACCGTTCCACATGCAATCGCACCCCGAGGCTGCCCGCGTTCCCCCCCTGCCCGACGATCAGGCGACGTGGAGAAGGTCGCGGGGGCAGAAGAAGAGCACACACAGAAGCGCACAAATGAGTCTAAAGAGGGAAGCTGGTTGTTCGGGGTTGGGAACACCATTTCATGACAACCATCTGAACCCGTAGATAGATGTGTATACATATATATATATATATATATATATATATGTATATATACACACGCACGCGTGCACCTGTTTCGAAACGATTGCCCTGTGCGCACGCGTCCTCTCGGTAGTCTTCGCGCCTCGCCCCCCCCTCCCGCGCCGGTTGACTTGCCCAGGTTGACAGAGGATGCGATCCTCATCTCCCTCGGCTGGAGGCCCGAGATTGACCGGCCGGAGCTCGGGCAGAGGCTCGATCTTTCATTTTGCATCGAGCGGGGAGGAAAGCACGAGGAGACGAGGTGGGGGGGGGGAGGACATGGAGAGGAGGAGGATGAGGATGGTAGAGGCCCGATATTGACCAGACGGAGTTCGGACAGAGGCTCGATCTTTCATTTTGCATCGAGCGGGAAGGAGAGCATGAGGAGATGAGGTGGGGAGGAGAAGACAAGGAGAGGATGAGGATGAGGACGGTAGAGGCCCGAGATTGACCAGGCGGAGTTCGGGCAGAGGCTCGATCTTTCATTTTGCATCGAGCGGGAAGAAGAGCACGAGGGGAAGAGGCGGGGAGGAGAGGACAAGGAGAGGAGGGGGATGAGGATGGTAGGGGTCACTGAGTATGGCGATCGAGCTGAAGGATGGTAGGAGTGGGCAGCTAGAAATAGAGATGAAGAAACTCGGCGGCTGCGAGCGCTGGAGCCTCGCCGTCGTCGGCGGCGGCGCCACGGGGAAGCAAGGGGGGCTGGGGAGCGTGAGACCAACCGAACAATAGGACAGGTAGAGGCGTAGGTGCAAGTGCGGTCGGGGTAGGGGCGAAGTCGCGGCGACCGCGATGGCGATGGCCTTGCCTTTCTCGATTGCTACCCTGCCGCCCCTTGGACCAGGGGGCCGCCTGGACACTCAGGGGCTGGCCAGTGTTTCGTATTTCATGTCTCTCTCCCTCTCGATCTGTTTCTCGGATTCTCGATGGCTCTCGCCAACCATCAGAGATGTGTATGCATATAGGAGAGGGGGGTGGAAAGGAGGAAGAGGAAGAGGGGGGATAGGGGAGGTGCCCATGTTCGCGGGGGGGGCCCTGGGGATCAAGAAGGAAAAGAAGTCCAAGAAAAACCGCAAGATATCGAACGAGAGCAAGCGGAAGGGTGAGAAGCGAAAGAGTACCCGTCACAAAAGCAAAGATGCGTTGGCCAGCGCAGTTGACAGCATTGAGCCTGAAGTCCCGTGGCTCAGGGCCGCCGACTCTGTCCCAAAGACGCTTGCGAAGTCGAAGGCAAAGGTAACTGCAGCTCCGACGTTAGTGGTGAAGCCAGTCGCTAAACCAAAGGGAAAGGCAAATCCCAAGGCGAAGCCGAAGGCCGTCGACACCATCGCCCCCGACCCCGCCCCAGAGGAGCCCCCCCTCGAGGAGCCCACGTTCGAGGAGGAAAAGGACGAAGAGGGCGAGCGCGGCGAGTCCGAGGCTGAGCACGTTCCAGGCGTAGTGCTGGAGATGGAGGGCGAAGCCGAGGAGCCTGCTGAAGCCGCGGTTGAGGCCGGAACCGAGGAGCAGGTAAAAGCACCCGACGGCGCCGCCGAGGCTGATAAGGACGATGGGCCGCTGGTCGCCATCGCAGAGTTCAAGACCGAGAAGGGCCGGTGCAAGTTCAGCAATGGCGAGGAGGTCATCATCTACAAGGTTGCGAGGCGCGTCACGGAGCTCATCAGCTGCATCTACAAGCGCAACGACAAGCACACACCAACTCGTGGGAGTTCGTGACAACCTCTGGACCCAGGCGCACCTCGACCAAATGGGCGTCGAGTCGGCGACTGAGCTGAGCGACTGCGTCGTCAAGCTGACGCGCGTGAAGTGCCTCGAGAACGCGATCTGGGAGAACAGCGCCGCCGCCGCGATCAGGGGCCAGGCGAGGGCCGAGCTGGGCCTGAACTAAAGGTTCCCAGGGCATGCGAGCCAAAATGGCAACGGGAGCGAAAGAGCAGAAAGAGCAGAAGGAGGAATGAAGGACAGGGGGACGGATAGCCAGCAAACCTTCAGGAAAGAGGAGGAGGAGGGATCACATAAACTCGAGGATGTAACCAGGAGAAGGAAGTGGAGGAGGTGGAGGACGAGGGCGGAGGGCCTCGGGTTCACGACAGGACGCAGGATCAGAGGAGCGTCATCGGAAGGGGGAGGAGTGGGCGGAGGAGGCGGAGGAGGAGGGTGTTGGTCCTCGAGATCTCTGCTTTGCCATCGCCGCGCGGGGGAGGTTACAGAGTGCCTGGACAAGGCTACCAAGATCAACATGATCTACTTGGAGAGGGCGCGGCAGGGGAAGGGTTGCGCAAGAGTGCACGCCCCTCCAATGCAAATGTGAAACACTCAACACCTGAAACAGCAGCACCTAAAACACACCTAAACAATTCCTTGCGATGAAACCATTAGTTGAGAAAGAGATGAGGGTAGGACGACCGATAGTAAACACACGCTGTGCATCACGTGCGATGCACTAGGCTCTGACAACGTCGCAGGGCCAGCGCTGGGCCGACCCCTGGGGCTTGGTTCATTACTGGGGCAGGGGATCCAGGAATCCACGCGTTTCGCATGGACCCAAGGTGGGAAATCCCACCAGACATAGATTTCTTCATGAGGCATTCTCGCTCAAACGATTTCCGAACAACGTCAATTGCCTACCAGATCGCATGAAGCGACCAGCCGACAGTAGCAGCGGCGATGGCCCAGCAGCCAGCAGCATGCCCTCGGAGCTTCTAAACAGGATGGCTCGTGCGATGTCAGTTCGCACGCAAGTCTCTTCGGCCCGCGACCAGCTTCTCAATGCAGGCACCCGTCGTCGTTATACTCACTCTCTTGCGAATGGTTTGTACGTTGACTACTCTGCCGCTCCCCTAAATTTACTTCGACGAGCCGACCGCCGACTTGCCGGACCCTGGTGCGAGCGCTCCGCGGCCCTGACCGCCGACAGCGATCGAGCCGGCGCGAGGACCCCAGGGCCCCAGCCGAGAAGCCCGAGCTCGAGCCCAATGAGCCCGAACCAGTCCCGAAGACGACCGTTGAGCAGACCTGAATTCGAGCCCGAGCCCAAGGTGCCAAAACCAGTCCCGAAGAAGACCAGCGTTCAGACTTTGAGCCTGAGCCCGTGCCAAAACCCGCCCCGAATACCATTAAGCAAACCAGCGAAAACTACATCGAGGATGAATCCCAAGAGGAAGTGATCATGGGGGGCTCGCCCGTGCCGCGCCGCCCGGCAGCAAGCGCTGCGAGATCACAGGCCTCCAGGTTATTGCATTTGAGAGCTCTCAGCTGCTTTGAGGTAGAGCGGCGCCATCAGACAAAACTTGGATCGGTAAGAACATATTGATGCGAGGGAAGAGGGCAGGAGGAGAGGAGGAAGGCAATGAGGGGGGAGAGGGGGAGATTTTTGTTTACACCCCAACATGATTCAAACGCAGTAGAAACATGTTGGGGTGGAGGGGAAGAGAGAGAAAGGAGACGAGGAGGATTGAGTATCACGGAAGGGAGGCATATTCCGACTACCTCTTCATTCGGATCGGCAGCGTCTTCAACGCTTCGACACAATCGCGTCGGCGGCATTCGATGGTTTGATTTGCTGTGTTGCGCGAGGGAACGGTGGCAAGGGTCACTCGATCGAGACGGGGAAGCGGCTGCAGCGACACAGCTTCGACAGTGGTGACTGTTTGAGAAATATAGCATCCGATTTGCTTGTTGCGTTGCCTCCTGCATGCGTGAGCGCCAAGAGGATCAGAGGGGGATGAGGATGATGATGCTGACGATGATGACGATGCGGAGGAGGCGGAAGAGGAGGAAGGGGCGGGGGGAAGGCCGAACCGGAGGAGTAGGAGGAGGACTAGGAGGAGGATGGCGAGGATGAGGAAGAGGCAGAGGAAGAGGGCGAGAAGGGTGGGGCTGCCGAGGGGGGAGAGAAGCACGAATTGCAATTTAGACCTTGAAGGCCGTTCGCATGAACGATATGAGCGCGCATCAAGGCCATGCGTTGGCAAATCGAGTTGCATGGCCCAGGGTCTGCCACGCTGTCGCGTTTTTTTTTGCTCTAGGGGCTGGAGACAAGCGCGGCGAGGAACGCGTTGGAGGAGGGGGGGCGCTGGGGAAAGCGAGGTAGGGGCGAGGAAAATGAGGGGGGCTCATCTTTGACCCCCCCGCGCCCATCGTTGTCAGCCAGCTTAAGCGAGAGGGTGCCCCGGGCCAAGACCGCTGCATCGGCGGCCGGCGAATAGGGCGCGATTGTGGGAAAGGGGGCGCTATGGACATGGAGGCCGGAGCAAGATCGAGACCGAAAGACAGCACGACGAAGAGCACTGCGCATGTCGGAGTTGTATTCGCGCGTGCGTGTGTGCGTTCTAGTGTGGGCGCGTGCGCACCTACGCGCAGATGCTTCTCCTACCTCCCCTGGCCCTACCATGGCTAACAATGGTATTATTACTACTACTACTACTACTACTACTACTACTACGACTAGTACTACTACTACTACTACTACTACTACCACTACTACTACTACTACTACTACTACTACTACTACTACTACTACTACTACTACTACTACTACTACTGCTGCTGCTACTACTACTACTACTACTACTACACTACAACTACGACTACTACTGCTACTACTACTGCTGCTACTACGCCTACTACTACTACTACTAACACTACTCACACTACTACTACTTACTACTACTACGACTACGACTACTATTACTACTTCTACTACTACTACTAATCTGGGCTACTACAACTACTGCTACTATGTACTCCCTACTACTACTACTACTACTACTACTACTACTGCGACTACTACTACCAGCAGTAGTAGTAGTAGCACTACCACTACTACTATTACTACTACTACGACTAGCACGACTAGTACGACTACTACTACTACTACTACTACTACTACTACGACTACGACTACGACTGCTACTACTACTACTACTACTACTACTACTATTACTACTACTACTTAGACTTCTACCTCTACGTATACTTCTACTACGACTTCTGCTACTACTTCTAATACTACCGATGCTAATCAGGAGAATCGTAATACTGCTACGGGAACTAATACGACTGCTGATGTTACTACTAACACTGCTACTGCTCCTGTTATCTCCCAGTCGCGCGTCTATCCTGAATGCATGTGCGATGCGACTGCGGCGATGACGACGACGACGACGACGACGACTCCTACTACTACTACTGCTACGACTACTACTTCTGCTGCTACTACTGCTACTGCTGCTAGTGATACTATTGCTACGACTACTACGAGTACTCCTGCTACGCCAACTCCAACTCGAACGACCCCCTTTTACTATAGCACTGCGACGGCGATTACTACGCTCATTTTGTAAAGGCGCGTGCATCAACATTTCGCTGATAACTCGAAAAAACATGGGCAAAACAACCACTGTAACAACCCATTCGTGCCATTCAAGGGTGATCATATGAACCTGACATATACGAAAACGAACAACACATCCAAAACGAGCGAGCGAGCGCGCGCAACGCCCGATGTTAAGTAAACAACGAGTTGCGAAAACCTGATGTAAAAATTCATTCCCTGGATGGAGAAGGCGATGATATGAATGTGGAATATATGAAAGCACATGCAAACCCAAAGCCAAGCGAGCGAGCGCGCGCCACGGGCAGCTCGCGATGCATGGGTTTCGTACATTGTATATTCAAAGAACCTGAGAATGAAATTTTACATTTGGTTTTCACCACTGAGTTCCTGAGTTGTCATCGCCTCCCTGGCACAAAAAAATAGCCCGGCGAAGGACCCAGCCATATGCAGCTGCGGGTACCGCACGGATATGAGACGAAGGAGGGGGCACGCAAACTAGGCCCCTCTTCTCATAGGCACCGCGCCACTGGGGCCTTCGGTGGAGCTCCCTATGGGGCCACGAAACGTGCGAGGGGTGTGCCGAAATGGGTGGTGGGGAGGCATGCGGACACAGCCACCGGCGCCTTCGGTGGAGCTCCCTATGGGGCCACGAAACGTGTGAGGGGTGTGCCGAAATGAGTGGTGGGGAGCCACTGGGGCCTTCGGTGGAGCTCCCTATGTGGCCACAAAACGTATGAGGGGTGTGCCGAAATGGGTGGTGGGGGGGCATGCGAACGCAGCCGCTGGGGTCTTCGGTGAAGCTCCCTATGGGGCCACGAAGCGTGTGAGGGGTGTGCCGAAATGTGTGGTGGGGAGGCATGCGAACGCAGCCACTGGGGCCTTCGGTGGAGCTCCCTATGGGGCCACGAAACGTGTGAGGGGTGTGCCGAAATGGGTGGTGGGGAGGCATGCGAACGCAGCCACTGGGGCCTTCGGTGGAGCTCCCTATGGGGCCACGAAGCGTGTGAGGGGTGTGCCGAAATGGGTGGTGGGGGGGCATGCGAACGCAGCCGCTGGGGCCTTCGGTGGAGCTCCATATGGGGCCAGAAAGCGTGTAGGTGTGTGCCTTAAGTGTGGGGGGAGCGTGCTAACGCCGATGCCGCATGGTTGCCCGTGGAGCTCATATGGGCCACGAAGCTGTGAGGGGTGTGCCGAATGGGTGGTGGGGAGGCATGCGAACGCAGCCACTGGGGCCTTCGGTGGAGCTCCCTATGGGGCAACGAAACGTGTGAGGGGTGTGACGAAATGGGTGGTGATGAGGCATGCGAACGCAGCCGCTGAGGCCTTCGGTGGAGCTCCCTATGGGGCCACGAAACGTGTGAGGGGTGTGCCGAAATGTGTGGTGGGGAGGCATGCGAACGCAGCCACTGGGGCCTTCGGTGGAGCTCCCTATGGGGCAACGAAACGTGTGAGGGGTGTGCCGATATGTGTGGTGGGGAGGCATGCGAGCGCAGCCACTGGGGCCTTCGGTGGAGCTCCCTATGGGGCCACGAAACGTGTGAGGGGTGTGC